TTTTCAAGGGTATGAAAGCAATTGAAGGCTTGAATTCAACAACCATTTTTGAAATTATTGAATTGTAAGTATACTATATAAATTATTGAACTGAAACTAATCATGTTGATTTTCTAGATCTAATGGAATTGAGAAAGCAACAACAATAACAACACCAACAACAAAACGTCTCAACTAGACCACGAAATAAGAAATCAGACTAGTCGGAGAGGATTTTTGTAATTATATGACAATAAAAGCACTTGTTATTATCTAATCATTGTTTTATTTATAAAATATTATACAAGTTATTGTGGGTTTTGGTACTTCCAATATAATTATACAATACATATACATTCTTAACACTACATGAACGAATACTAATTTTATGATAATTGAAATCAGTGGGGCTTATAAACCAGCTTGGGTACTTTACCTACTGAAAATTCTAAATTAATTATAGTTAGAGGATTTACATTAATTTGAACATGAACTTTGATTAGAAATTCTTGTTTAACATAACCTTCAACGTAAACAGTATCAATGTCTTTTAAATTGTCCTGAAGCACTTGATTAAGTTCTCCATAGCCTACACAGCCTATATTGTATGGAACACCATGAATATTGTGGGATACATAGTTGAGTTCTTTCTTCTGGGCTTCATTCAACTCACGATGTCGTCAATTCTTTAACTTGAAAAATCAGTAGAAAAGTAACATTGACCGTCCAAAAGCACAAACTCAATACTTTTCTGCGAATGCTTGATAGTCACTGGCTACATCAATGTTCTAACGTTACCTGATAAAGGTAAGTATTCAAACACCCGATCATGTACGATTATACAACAGGCTCGTGTATCTTCCGAAAAATTCTCTGAGCTTTGGAACTCTAATTTGACATCAGTCGTGTTGCTTTTGAGGGATTCGTTCTGTTTTGAGCAGTCTATAACAAATAATGCCCTGTTGGCAAAATTGGGAAGGTCCAGCAATGGTTCACTATTGGTTTTACCCAAATACGTGTTTTGAAATTCGGTATACATCCGGTATGCTTCTGCAAACTGTTTGTCATCGAAATTAAGATTCAGTGATTCATACGAATAAACTTCAGAGTTTAGATACAGCTTGACATCTGTAATGTCTAAATTATCGAAAAGAGTAATATCATACCAAGGATTATCTTTTCGGTTTTTCTGGAAAAACACTATGATATATCTGGCTCTCTCGGACATTGATTTCACAGTCCACACGTCTCGCTTGGATTTTCTCAATGTAGGTAACTCATGAATCTCCCAACTTCTGAATGGAATAAATATGGGTTTGTTGTTCGAAATATCTTCCAATAATTTCAATTTTAAAACATCGTTTGGATAAATGTGCCTCACCCTCAATTCTACTGTGTCTAAAGTAATTTTTGCTGTTTTATCTCCAGTCGTATTGATGTAACAGTTATCATCATTTCTAGCTCTGACAAGTTTTATTTTCTGTCTTCCCATAATAGCCTTATTGTAATCGGAAAAGATATTTAGTAAAATCTTCAAGGGTATCAGGAAATTAAATTTGTTCCCCGCTAAAGATTTCACTTCACCCTTAGGCCAATTCCATCCAGCTCGATCGAGTGCTCTACTCTCTTGATCGTTGAGACATAAAATATTCCTCACTGTGCTAGTAAGCCCCGGATCTCGAATTTTATCAATTTCTTTGCCATTTAATTCATAAGTGATAGATTCAAATAGGAAAGCACCTGCATTAATTGTTAGATTACATTTTCCTGTCTTTCCAGCGGTAACGTCTTCATTAAACTTTCCTTCAATGTAGACTTCGGCTTGGCTGATATCTATAAATGCATCTTGTTGATTGATAACAATTTCTATTTCATCACTATAGTTGAAAGAATTGGTGAAAGGATGGTAAGTATGCCATTCCTCTCTCGCTACGGACTCATCGGTGTTGACCGACTGAAATAGTTGCAGTTTTCCTGATACGATATCCATATTGGGAAGCCAGAGATCTCAACCCAATCAAACTTTTATGTGTGAGCGTTTGCTTTGACGGTTGACTGCAGACTGAGCTCGAGTTATTAACACCACTGTTTAAATAGTCACCAGTTTTATTAAAAACCAGGACCATATTTCTTAAGCTCTAATCTCACTATGATCTCCTCTCCTCGGAAATTAACTGGCCGTCCTTCTTGATCAAGTATATTAATTGTTATATTATCTATACTGTCCCTATTGATAGGTAGATATATCAAGTTTCGAGGATCTATTATAATTCGGTATCCAGGATTCACAGCTGGAGTAAATTCGTATAACGTATGTGAAGGATTACTATTGAAGTAGGAACCAGAGATGATGTTGCACTCTATCCGTATACTAGCCACCGATATTATCTCAACTGGCAGATCGGATTCGTGTAGATAATTCTTTTCCAGAGATTTTTCTGAAAATCCCAAAAGTTTTCCTATACTATCCTCAGGCTTGAAATTAATATCATATATAGCCTTTAGTTCACACTTCAATGTATTGTTGTTTGGTTTAAGAGAAATATTTTCTGTTGTAGTCGTACTTAATTGTTTTTGTAGATAGGCTTCAATATCGGTAACCTCGTACGACCCGGTTGGGATTGCTATTATTTGTTGTTTTCCTGTAACGCTATAGTAGAACTTGTTTCGACCTGGTTCAATGTTGGGAATGGAATTCCACGTACTGAGTGAGATGAGAGCTAATGAATAGTTATAACTAGAATCAAGCTTGATGGGTGGTGTAATATCAACACTCAAGCGACTTGTTCGACCTTTCAACGTGAATGTCTGAGACATGACTGAAATAAAATCAAAACACAATTACTTTATATAGATTTATTAAACAAAAAACCAAGTACAAGATATCCACAATTGTAGGAGTTATATGACTGATACTGATCATAGTTGAAAAGTATCTTACAATTTTTAAAATAACGAACGAGTTCTTTTGGTGGATTTAGGTTCCCAAAACTATCAAAGTAAACAACAGTGTTTTCCTTTTTCTTATAAGCTACCCAATGTGATCCCGATCCCATATTCGTATCCAAATTAAGAACCCCGCATTCGGTTTTCTTTGAAGACGATGGTAAGGTATCTCGCATAAACACGCCTCTAAAATTGAAAATTTTAAGTTTTTTAACGTATCGCTTGATATCTTGATCACTTAGTGAACGATCGGGTAGCTTTATTGGAAGTTTTTTGACATCTTTTTCAGGTAAAGTCCATATCCGGTCTTGTGTTTACTAAGATATAATCCACTCCCTTTTTTTCCTAACGCAATAGCTTCCATCATTTCGTTGTGTCGTTTGGACTCGACAAGTTTATCTTTCGCAGAACGAGCGTCATTCACTGCTTTTGTCACCCCTGCCGCGCCCCCACTTAAAGCGCCCAGCGCGCTAAGTCCGGCAAACAGAGGTATAAGAGGAATAATTCCACCTACTTTTGGTACTGGGATAACTCGTGGAACTCGAGTCTTTTTGGGTCCACCAGCTTCTTTGATTGTCTTACGAGCTGCTTGAAGCGCCGATTTAATAAAGTCTTTTATTCCTCTACCACGATGCTTTACTTGCTTTCTAATATTAGCCACAACATAGGATTTGAATGGTTTCAAACTTTTCGATCGAGCCATGCTGAGTTTACATTTAGTTTTCTTCTAACCGAAATTGCGAAATCCTATCCTTTCACCCGTTCCCACGATATATTTTTTAGCACTTTATCTGGCCGATGTCTGTGTTGTAGATCCGTGAATTTCAAAAGAAAGCTTGTTGATGTAGCTATTTAAAGGACCTACACTCGATGGTGTATTCATTAAGAATGAAACAGAGGTAGAGTGAACATTGTTTATATACGATGCGGAAGATGAAGCAGAAAATCAACATAAAGATCGATAACTTTGACATTAATAAGTCCACTAGTGTTAGAAAGAGACATGGAGAACTTTTACCAAACACAATTAGAGCAATAATATGCGGGCCAAGTAATTCAGGGAAAACAAATGTTATGCTTAGTATGTTAACCGATGAGAATGGACTTAGATTCCGAAATGTATATGTATATTCCAAGTCATTGGACCAAGAGAAGTATAAGTTTCTGAAAGAGGTGCTCAACCGTGTTGCTGGTATAAACTTTTATGGATACAGTGATAATGAAACCGTTTTAGATCCGCAAACAGCTAAGTCAGATTCGGTGTTTATATTCGATGATGTGGCTTGTGAGAAGCAAGACAAGATAAGAAACTATTTTTGTATAGGCCGCCATAATGCTATTGACTGTTTTTATCTTTGTCAGACGTATTCAAAAATACCTAAGCAATTGATTCGTGATAATGCAAATATGATTATAGTATTTAAGCAGGATGACACGAACCTGAAACATGTGTACGACGATCACGTTAACACAGATATGTCTTTAAATACGTTTAAAACTATTTGTTCTGAATGTTGGAAAGATAAATATGGTTTCTTAGTCATTGTTAAAGATGATGATATCACGAGCGGTAGATATCGAAGTCAGTTCAACACCTATATATCTCCATAGAAGACAAATTCTCCTCAGTATCCCTTAAGACGTCGCTGTGTACAGACCCCTGCAATAGCTGTACCCTAGCTGTCTCTGAACTAGTGTAGCTGTCTAAAAGCTGTCTCCTACCCTGCATAGCTGTCTAAAAGGTGTCTCTAGACCTGTATAGCTGCCTAAAAAAGCTGTCTTCTGACCTGTATAGCTGTCTAAAAAGCTGTCTCCGGACCTGTATAGCTGTCTAAAAAGCTGTCTGCTGACCTGTAAAGCTGTCTCTAGACCTGTATAGCGGTATACGGACCTGTATATAGCTGTATACAGACCTGTCTCCGGACCTGTATAGCTGTCTAAAAAGCTGTCTGCTGACCTGTAAAGCTGTCTCTAGACCTGTATAGCGGTATACGGACCTGTATATAGCTGTATACAGACCTGTCTCCTGATCTGTGTAGCAGTATAAAAGACAGTGTAAAACCTGGTTGGAAATCATGGCTTCGGTTCCAAGCGAAAATGATAGGAATATCAAGAAGAAAATACTGAACGCTGCTAGATCTATAAGAAAAAAGTATTTGGCTTTAAAGCTGGAGAGAAAAGAGGAAGATGAGGCACTTGATAGGATTATAAACCCTATAACTGAACCTCTAAGAGAGTTTGTTGAGAAAACGGTTGGCAGAAAAGTCCAAGTTAAACATGAAAAAGTTAAGCTCGAAGCTCCTAAAACATATTTTGAATCTGAACCGACACTTCCTAGAAATGTAGAGTTCCAACCAGCAGAGATTATTGCTCAAACGAGTGAGAATTTAAAAAGTGATGATGATGATGATGATGATGATGGCGCTGAGGATGTCTTTTATGAACCCTTACAACATTTGAAAGAAGATCTGCAGAAATCAATTCACGATAGATCAGGAGCGTATGAAGAATTTTTAGATCAGTATCCCAAAGTAGCACAAGAGTATGTAGATAGATACTATAAACAATCAGATGAAATAGACCATTCTTATGGCTTGAAACATGATATGAAAACCGATGATTGGTCTATGGGATCACAAAAAGTCAACTTTCTCCCGAATGGAGATATTAAAGTCGGGGCTGTATCTTATAAACGAACGCAGGGCTTATATGATCTTTTATTTCTGAAAAAGCCGATCTATCAGACAGAGGATGATAAGTTGCAGTTTACGGATATTCTAAACAGGACCAATGTTCATCGAAGAGATTTTGATCCATCCAAACAAGTTAAAGGGTCCACATCTTCAAAATATAGACAGTTTGTTAAACCTTTGGTCTCATCATCATCTGAAGCAAAAAGGCTTAAATCAAGTAACAGTGCCTCGCCATCTGGCCGAAATCCATCTACAAGATCTCAAAATAAATCCGGAAGTGCTTTATTATTAGAATATAATGAGAAACGAAAACAATAAGTTTATTACGATGACGTCAACGAATTAATTGATAGACTTGTTAAATTGGATGCATCACAAAAAGCTGGAAATACCAATAATATCAATGAGATTATGAGTATTTTAGAGGAACTGGCTGAATTGGGTGTGATTGAGTTTAATAAATAGTTCTACATGTGTTATTTTGAATCATTATAGGGTTA